CTTAAACAACACTTATACCTTCTTTGTCCAGATTACAAATTTCTGACAAAGAATAAACATCAGTGAGATTGCCAAATAATTAACTCAATCAGTAGGAAATAACCCTACCCCTCCTCCCAAAATATTAGAGCATGATTGCTTAGAGCTTTCCACTGTTAATGGAAAATTCCAAATTCTTTGGTGTAGTCACCCAAGTCATTCACAATTAGGCCTCTGTTAAGCACTTTTATCTCAAGCTGACACCCTGTGAAAATCTTGGTCTTGCTCAACCCTCTGCAAAGTTACTCACCCTACTTTTCCTGTTCCCCCCTCCCCTCAGCTGACCTAAATCCTGACTAATCCCAACAGGCCATATTTAATATTTCTTCTTTCATCTGGCTTTCACCATAGCTCAGGACTCCATCAGTTCTACTCCCGAGCTTTTTTATCATCTAGACTATGCCTATCTGTATTTGTTCGTCAACTAGTTTGCATTATTATTTAGTTAATATCTTCCCAATTAGATTGAAATGGACTTACAGCCAAAACTGCATCTCCATTCTTTTACATCTTCATTGCAACAAGGATAATTCTGGGTTGATGTGGGTCTAGGTGTTTCCTGTAGTGAAATGTGCTTCCAAACACAGGAATGGTGTTGACCACATAGCAGCCTAGTCTTCAGTGATGGGCCTTAATGTGATTGATTTGCCAATAAGCAACTCTGTTGAAGTTCAACAAACTGTTTCCCTGAGAAAAGAAAAAAATAACTTCCATTTTCTGTACCACACAAACACAAAATTCTTCATTATTAGATTTAAAATGAAATTTCAGAAGAAATAGTTTTGTCTTAAGGATACTGCATTTTTACTTCTTAATTTTGATTTTAACTTTGAGTATTTCTCTCATATTCTCTCATTTTGTTTCTTTTCTTACTCCTACATAAAATATTCAAACAAAATGAATTATTTTTTTCAAATTTACAATATTTTATATTTCTAGATTGACATTATTTTCTTCAAATTGCACTCGGCAGACTCCACACTCATCCTGAAGACAGTTATTATTAAAAATAGCTTTGGAACTTCCCTTTCTAAATTGCCTCTGGATGTCAATGACATAATCATAAATTCTTCAATAATGAAAAACTCTTCTCAGTTAAAACTGGATTTGATAAGGAAAATACAGATTAGCTAGAAATCCAAACTACGTAAAATGCTCAAAATAAGATTTCTCACTTTCCTTCTATCTCTCTTTGTTACTCTCCGATGAGCACACACATCCTATGGAAAAAAAAAGAAAGAAAGAAAGAAAATATATATATATATACACCAATAGTTAGACACAGTTGATGGTCTTTCAAAGAAATATTAAAGAGACATTTACTAAATAATATTTACCAGTCATGTTTATTTATATTACTTACCATATAAGCTTAAGCTTTGTTTTCTTGAGGAGAGTCTTGCTTTAAAAACACTTTTATTATTTGGGAAAAAAACCCCACAGGGATGAGATTGTGTTTTATTCTTGTCTCATACAAAAAATAATTATTATCTCCAGGTAAGATAGAAAAAGGTGCAAAGCAAAAAACAGGATTTTAAAATTTCCCAGAAGAATTACCCCTTCAGAAGAAACTGTAAGATGAACTTACTGGGTTGGGTGAAATCAAAAGAAAGTTAGAGATGAAAGCAAACAAACAAACAAGTGGGCACCATAGAGAGAGGTCAGAGGAACACAGAATATATAAAATTGTTATTCAGTCAAATGATCAACTTTGAGGGACTGTCAGGCCGTGTGCCAGCAGGACAGAGGCCTGTGAAGCAACGTGAGTGGCAACCAAGTAACTAACACCCAAAGCCAGAATATAGATACGTCGGATGCTTCCTGCACTCAAAGCTCAAGTTAGTGGCAACCCCTGGACTCCTTCCCTTACAGGATCCCCTCAGCACATTACAAAGGACTTTGAAATGGTTACCTAAAAAACAGGATATGTCGAAGAAGCAGCACAAAATATAGACACATATTTAAGATAAGGAGAAAAAGGCTGTGGGACACTGAGGCTCAGGGGTGTGTATGCTTCTTGGCCCTGTCTGGCGAGGGCCTATAATAGAGTGACTGTGAGGCCAGCCCTTTCCTGCAGTGAGTCAGCCTCATTGTGCCTCCGTAGTCCCTTTACAGACCTGCCCACTGCACCTGTTCAGAGGTTTTCATTAATAGCTCTGTCTCATAAGGATCTGTTTCCAAATTGCAGAGCTTTAAAATGAGGTCAGTGCTCCAGTCTTAGGTCAATGTGGTGGCAGTAAAGGGCTTGCTAGGCGTCAGTGAAGCACATCATGGCTCTCAGGCCGACAGTCTCATTTCTCGTCCTGTACATCATTGCTCTGGGCACGTGCCACCCTTGGCTCTTCCTCCTGTCCACATCTTAGTCTCTGGTGTGTTTTTCTCACTTGTACATAGAAAGTGCACAACTGTACGCATCTAACTCCAAACTTTCTGATACACTATGTCCTCATTTTGCTATGCTTTTGATGTGTGCCTATGAGGGGACTTCACAGAGTTAGTGACGAAATGGAATTAAAGTGCAAGTTTATTTTGGTGCAAAAAAAAAAATTGAAATCCATGTATAGTTTTTACATAGTATTCATTGTCCTTAAACTTTTTGAAGATCCTTTGTATTTCTTTTCTCTGATTAAATGGTAAATTCCACAAAGTTTTTGCATTCTCTTCCATGTATTTCACTTCATAGCATCTAGAGGGATGTTCTGTGTCAAATAAACCCAAGATCAGAGAACAGTCAAAAAGTGTTGCAGCAATAAAGACAAATAGCTATCATATAATATAGTCCCTATAATTTTATCAACAAGAGAATTGAGGATTCTACGATGTGCCTCGGGCAATTCATGACAACATCCTAGTTTTCCCGGTTCCCAGAATAGTGGCTATTTTTATTACAGACATTCCATTTACAAGTGTCCATATCCATATTTATGAAATGAATATTGGTAACCACTCACCACATTCGTCTTCCAAGTTGATTCAAACAAAGGCTATAGGATGAAGTCACATTATTAAATATGTGGTGAGAAGTTCATCTTCCTCGAGGGAGAAATAAAATGAAGAATGTCGCGCTCCTTTTTATCAGGATCTCAACATGTGTGAGTGTATTTTCTTTCTTTACTGGGTCTCTGGGTTAAAGATCAGTCAGAAGTCAGACTCACTGAAGCAAAAACTATTCACACTGATCTGGGACTTCAGGCATGAGTCAGAGAACAGGGTGGGTGGGAGGGAAGAGCAGGAGAAACCAGCAGTGTAGAGAGCTACCTGGAGTGTTAGTTGGATGAAGCCAGCAAGGCCCATTCAATTGCCTGCCCTGGAGTGACACCATGTCTGCTATCTTACCCCACTATGAAACAGGATTCATGTCAGAGCTAAAGAAATGCCTGCATGTTCTGTGGTCACCTCCATTTCATTATTCCAATGTGGAAATGTTTGTGTGGTCCGACACATCATGAGAATATTTCTCTTGAGTGAATCGCTAACATATGCAAGGGGGTAAGCTGCATTGGATTTCGGCTGCTCCTGTGAAAGTTTTTCAGAATCAAAATGGAGTCATTTGTACCCATCCCAACTAAACCACGTAGGAAAGGCCATGAAGAAGGTGTTTCCTCACCCTAGCAGAACTGATAACAAGAACCATTATTTAGGCAACTCTGCCAGAACCACAGTCTTAAGTAAAAGACCACTGTAACCTGACTTCTGCAATGGCGTCTGCCCAGCGATGTTCTGTTCAACCTTAGACTGATGCCACTCTTGTGGATCCTGGTAGTCAAGGATAATGGTTTCAAAGCAGCTAGTGTAACTCCCTCTCCCTCAACCCTTTCTCACTTGTGGTTTTTGCCTTTATAACCTGTCTGAAGATGTTAAGACCTCTGTGAGTATGTTTAGATATTATGCTCATTTGGGTTGCACTATAGTGCAGTGCTCAAATTTAGCCTTTTTTTTAATATGTTTTGCCTTAATTTACCTTTCATTTAGAGTGACAGTCCAAATAAGGTGCCGTGAATACATTTGTCAGCTTGGAACAAAAACAAAATTATTTGAGTTAATGTAGCTAAAAAAATATTTAAAAAGAACTGAACTCTTCAAAAATCTGAATCACTGCAATTATTTATGCTGTGGCTGATTGGCCTCCTGCTGGGATACTATGAAAGGAGAAAAAGCATGGGATTTCTGGGCACATTTATAATTGCTGATGTCCTCGGATTCTAAGACTTCACAGAGTTCACTGAGAACTTTCTTTCTGTTTTTAATAGTGGCCTTACCATATTTCAGATGTAAAATGCCTTCTGTAAAGTCCAAGATAGGCTTATGATTTATTATTGCAAATTATGATCTAGCAAAGTTCCAGTGTTCATGCCAAAAATCACAGACACTAAAATAGTGACTCAGATGCTTCTATATAACTCACTTTGTATTTTCTGCTGACAACCTTTTTTGTAAGTAATGTTGACACTTCTTTTAATTGACTCTGAATTCGTTTACCCAGTGTAAGTCAAATCTAGCAAAGCCATATTTTTCTCTCCCGATATTCAAAAATATACATTAGTATATTGTCACGTGTGCCCCTTTATTCTTAGAGGAAAAAAAAAATCAAAGAAAAAAGTAATGATATAAAAACGGCATTTATTTAAAAATCTTTCTGTGGAACACCTTAATTAGGATCCTTGTGGTTATAGTATCTAGCACATTATGTTTCTGAGTTTATGACAACTATAAAAATAATTTTCCCAATATAAAAATCAGCTTCTGAGTTGTCTTAGATAAACCTGACAGATTGGAATGCTCCTTTGAAAACCATAATAAGAGCTTCTGAAAGACAGTGACTTGAAATACTATGTTCATGTCTTGCTGGCAGTCCACACTGCAGGCATAATTAGAGTTCATCATTGCCAGGAATTACTAATATTGTGACTTGTTAATTTCCAATTCTTCTACATTTACTGTATTTCTCCTTCCAATGACAGGTAGCTGTTGGGAATCCTTGACGCCTGTTGCTTTTAGCAGAAATGTTTATTCTTCTTTATGGTCCGTCTCTCCATTAATGCAAAATTCCTGCCACAAAAATGCACATCTTTGTGTCAGTTTAATGTAAATCAAGATTATGACACTGAAATTCCACCTGTTTGAAAAAGGAAAGCACAGTTTTTAAAAATTCTCAGAAAAAAAAAATAGGTAAATTCTATTTGACTCTGCCAATTCTTGGGAAATATAATACTTGCATTTTTCTATAATGAAAAATTTTATAAGAAGAAATGCCTAGGGGCCAACTAGTAGCATGAAGGTTAATGTGACTGGATACCACCACATGGCCATGATTCAAGCGTTGGACCTGCTACCCTGAAAAACACATTGGGAGCCTGTGAGTACATGTGGGCCCCTAACCCCAAGGCATTTCAATGTGACCACTCCCCCAGAAGTATCATTTTTCTCACGTGAACTATGCATGGATCCTATAGCAAATTTTAGCCTATATACAATTACTTTGGAGTTAGTTTTATTAATATTTTGAATGATAATATACCAAATGGCCTGTTTTGGAAGAGCAAAAGGTTTAACTTCCTTTTTTACTATTGTAAAGTTTATTTCTTCAGAGAGAGAGAGAGAAAGACAGGCACTTCCAGCAGGGTTTTGTGTTGCAATCCATCCAAGACTCGATCAGCCCAGATAATGGGCATTCTTACACAGGTGGTATGCACTGTATAGTTTCAGAACATGAGTAAAGGAGATTCCATGTAGGTCCAGGAATGTTACCTGGCACCATTGTCTGCACCAGAAAACTTAAATTCTGATGTAAAGTCTTTTTAAAAATATCTCCCAGAGTGCTGCAGAGATGGACATGGGAGTACAAAGAAGCATTCCTGGGTAATAATGCAAAACGCAGAACGTGACCACTTAGATGTCATTTACAATTCATCATTCTAAATAAATAGGTTGTCCAGTGTTATGTGTATAAAATAAGTCTCATATATAACACACTCTGCACATCACAATTGTAGTGACTACCATAAACCTGAAAGGTATTTTATCCAATGTTTTATTGGAACTCATGACCTAGTTCCTAGAATATTTTCCATCATGTGCTGATTCAGGGTTTCTGGGTATAACCAGGGGTGTAGGCAGATTAGAACACACAGGGCATGTGCTTGCCTCCATCCAGTACTGGCAGCTACAGACAAGCTCTCTTGTATCTTTGCCATTTGTCATCTTTGACACCCTACCCTCTTTTAAAGAACTCATCATTTCTCTAGCCTTTACTTTTAAAAACAATTCTGCATTCCTTTGCAGTTTCTATCCCCGTATTCTGTATACACACCAATCCTTCCTCTTCTCATGTCACACTGTAGTCATGAGGTTATAGTATTTTACATGGATTTGAATGAGCCTCATAAGAATTAGAAATATTGAATCAACAGAGAAAACAGAGTGCCTTTTGTCTACATTTCAAATAGCATTCATTTCCATAGAAACTGGACACTTTGGAGCTAACATACATAGAATGATGTTATGGTTACTTAGCCATAACTGGGAGAAGGTGCACCAAATCAGGCATGCAAGCCAGAAGGAACTCTGAGATAATTTTGAGCCTATAGTTAGAGCAAGCCCTAGACATGGTAAAGGGATCAATATGTCTCTGATTCAGAAAATTGAATCGAAACCAATAGGGAAGGAGATAATAGTTAAGTTGATAATAAGTCAACTATTTTTTAAGATTAGAGAAACTCATTAGCATCCAAGAAGGAAAATCACATCAAGTGGTGAGTACTTACAAAACCATGAAACGCATGCCACCTTTATCACTGTGTAACCACCATGTACAAAGAATATAGAGATTATACTTAGAATACTTTATAGAAAAGGGGCAGATCATCTACCAAAATAACCAAAGCAATAACTTCCTTTGGCTTCTGCATCTTTTATTGCTGATAACAAATAGAACATTCAGTTTTAGGATCATCACTCTTTCTCTTTCACACACACATATTTCTACAATCACTTACTTTAAAATCATCACTCTGGACATTTAAGTTTGTGTGTTTTATTTTAAGGAATAAAAATTATTTTTTTACACAGATCTCTCTTTTCAGTAAGCAGAATATTTTTATATCACTAGATAATACTCCTAAAACAATTTTAATGGCTATGTAATTTCCCAATGTATATAAATAATGCAATTATTTAACAATATCTCAATTACTAGACATTATTTATTTATCCCAAGACAGAAAGAATAAGAGAGGAAGAGATTGAGAGAGAAAGAGAGAGAGGGAGAGAGAGAGAGAGGCACCTTGACCGTTTCTTTTCTTTCTTTTTTTTTTTAAGAGATTTTTGCTATAGGGCACGTGCGCTTGCCAGACAGACAGAGACAGACAGAAAGCAAGAAATCACTCCCCGGGGGGATGGCCATGCCACAATTCCTTCTCCTCCATTCTCCTCTCAGGATCTTGGGCATGCACGCACATGTACCTGGCGTGAGGTTTTTTTTTAATTTTTTCTCTTTAAATTTATTTATTTTTTACATTAATTCACTGTACATCATTACAACATACAAATGAATTTTCCATCCAAAATACACTGTATATTGGCTCAATCAAGCACATCAACATACATGTTATCAGCAAATAATTTTCCAATTCTTATGTTTTGTATACTTTGTTTTTTGATTTGCCACCCTTGATTCCCTATCCCTCACCCTCTGCCATGTCCCACCCTCCTCCCACATTGTCTCTGGTGTCCATGGTTGCTTTCTATGCCTCCCCTCCCATTTAATTGATTTGCTAATGAATTCAATTAGTCTAAATATATCCAATAGCTAGCACAGCTGATATATACCTATACATGTACCCAAATCTGACCCTAGGCATAAACCCCCGTGAGTAGAATGAACATACTATAAAGTAGTACCCAGCTGTGCCCATAC